CTCGCCATTCTGATTTTGTTTCGTTCTATCGTCACCCCCTGCTCAATCGCGGCAGCGTACAGTGCTGTTAAAATTACAATTGCGTCTAATTTTGATTCCTTTACTAGTTTTAATACCGATTTGTAATAGCTACTGCTAATTATGTGCCAATTTTAAAACCAATTTGTAATGCCGTATAACTCGGCCCTTTTGGGGTCTGGACTGTTTATCTTAATCCGTAGTAAGGGAATGTTTTATACTGTTGTACCTGTTTTTATATACCTTTTCTTGTCTTGTTACAGCCTTTCCTTTTGTTTTCTTTGCCATCAACTTTACAATAAATTTCTGTGGACCTGAAGTTTTCTTATTTTATTGCCGTGTACCTGATGACGGCTCATTAGGGTTACAATCTTTTCAATTTGTTCTACTCAGTTGACAATTTTATGAAATATAAAGACTAATTTGATTGATGATATTTATTATTTATCTAATCCAATTTAATTCTGACATCTACCTTCATGACTTAAACATTATAAAAGGTACTGCAGTTCATCTTATCATCGTTAGGGTCAAGTCACACATAAAGAGCAGAGGCGCGCAACGGCCTGAAGAGCTACCACATACCATGGCGCGCTGTACATTCTATCACTTCAAATCAATTTGAACATTTTCCTTTACAAAATATGATTCAAAATGCTAATTAATACTTTGCACCAAAAGTACTCCTACAGCCGCTGCTTTTTCAGTGTGATTTGACCCTAAGAGACTCTGTACAACTTGCCATATAAATATTGTACACAGCCGTTAATAACATGAATAATAATATTAGTATAGTTGTTTTAAAAGTACTATACTGATACTGCAGTTCCACTTGTCACCGCTATGGAAGTTGTACAACTTGCCATACACACACACGTAACTTGCTATACATACATTGTAAATTCGTTGTACAAGGACTGTGCAGTTCCACTTATCACTATTAGGGGTGCTGCACCATTTGTCATACAAATATTTTACACTACTTTAATTTCTTGGAATGGTAATATTATAACAGTTCTACTTGTCACCGCAAGTAAATATACAAATATTCTACGCGATCTCTATTTTTTCATAAAGATGGTATAGGTACAGGTAATGCCTCTTGACAAGGGTCAGTATACGATCGAAGGCTTTCGGGCGAAAGTGAAAATTGCCGCCTCTTTCAATATTTAATAACGAGGGAAATGCTCTTTAGCTTTTCATCAATAATTAATGTACTGTTGCCAAGAGGATCGCGTATTTACTGAACAATCAACAGCATAATTAGTTTTACACTGTAGGCTTTGTATCGTTCTTTATTGGAGTTTTGGGACAACTGAATTAATTCGACTAGCGGTTGACGATCGAGCAAAGTCGTTTAATATAATAAGATCTCATTTAGAATCTTTTATTCGATATTGGCATGCCACAGTCATATTTTATATGCATTACGTGTAATAAAGAAAAAAGAAAAACACCTTATTATTTTAAAGAGCAATGTCTCTTTTTGTTGAATTGGTGAAATTATTTATCTAGGCGTTTTTGTAGAATTGAAATTATAATTGTATCCTCTGAAATTATCCTATAACCAGTATTAGTTCCTTTCTATACCTATAACCCTCTGCTTAAAAGAGAGTTATGCATATCAGTGTAAAGAAAAAGTGTAGTAATCCAACATACTACGATTTGAAAAGTGTTAATGGTACCCCAAACTGACTTGCTTTTGCTTTATTTATATTTGTATTACCAAACCACGCCCCACTGTAGTGCATGACTCTGCTCAAAAGTGATTAGTGAGTTAATAACAAAACAGTACAGAGTACTACAAAAACCGACCTCAAAAGTCATTGATCCCCTATTTTGCCACCCTTAAAAGTGGAATATTTTCTTCAAATTTAAATGAGACCACATCTGAGGTACCCTCTTTCCAACAAAAAAAGAATCATCAAAATCGGTTCACAAATGTCGTTACCGTGTTATCGCGTACCATACATTAAAAAAAATGCTCTCGAATTGAGAACCTTATCCTTTTTTTGAAGTCGATTAAAACACAGCCTGCTACTCACAGACAAGCAGACTGTGTGTGTGAGACCTCAGTCTCTACATGTTGTCTTTTATATGTTGTGATTTATCTCTCTGCCTATTATAAAAAACTTAATGCTGGATGGAAATGCTAGCATTCTCATTACTATGTTATTACTGCTTGTTGTAATAAGGTCGCAACTGTAAAGTGACAAATTTTCAAGCAAGATTTTAAAGATTCTACGAACGAAATTACTTGATAACTTTTATACTTAAATAGGAGAGAAGTAAAATGTTACACATATACATCATTTGTTTAATGTAGCTCGTATTATTTTTATGACATTTTCACGTGATTAAAACGCTTTTGACGTGTGATAAAATTTGACTTTAATATACAAAGGGTACGGATATATTTATTGCACGGCTCAATGCGCGTTTTATTTACTTCGGCATTTCAATTATTTGCACCATAAAATCAGACCTGTCTACATTGCAATTACTGACGACGTCAATCACATACGTCCATCCGACCGTACGTCCGGTCTGCTTCCGTAATTGACATAGCGCCCTGTCATTCGCCTGGTGAAGCAGGGGAGTTAGGGAGAGAGCAGGGGAGGACTTAGTTAAGGCCGTATTGTAGCGTTAACTGATGGATGTAAGGCGAACGTGCAAAATTGAAGTGGTTTTACTCGCTTGGTGTAGTGGAAAAAAAACATGTTATTACGTTATGTTTATCATTTTGCGAATAAAAGAGGTTCGATAAAATATGTTTCATGATATTCTTGTCAACTTGTTCCTACGTTCAGTTGAACACAGAGTTAAGTTACCAAAATTGCTTACTTTTTACGTCGCAACTTGTTGGATATAACGGCACCTACAAACCAAACGCTTGTGGAAGCGCTACCGTGACGTGTCTGTGGCGTAGCAGCAGTAGAGCGCCTTGTGAAAGATTTCGTTCAGGGTGCCACCTTACCTATTTCTGCCACCAAGCGATAATGTGAGCATTACTACGTGCCGGTTTTGAAGGGTAAAGGTGTTAATGAAATTACAGGCACATGGGACTTGTCAACTTATGTCTCAGGGTGACGGGCGCAGTGGCAGTGCTTTATGATTTAAAGGTCTGAGTGGCACGCAAATGTTATAGACAGGCGTGTGGCCTACAATCGGGAGCACGAGTTGTTCATCCCGTCATTGAAGAGTTACATGAGTGATTGATGAGTTACATGAATAAAGTGGGAGATATTATATTTGACAAAGGGCCCCTTTTTAAACTAAAACCTCTGTGACAGCTGTAGGGCTAGCACGGTAGGGCGCAACTAGCGCGAGAGCGACATAAAGCGCGAGATACTGATATTCTCGCATAGAGATCTCACACTTTATATCGCTCTCGCGCAAGTCGCGTCTTATCGTGCTAGTCTTATGTTTAGTTGCTGTCTACAGTGTTTATTTATTTTCTGATAAGTGTCACCAATTGTTTTTATTTTGAATAGGTGTCCATTGTGTAAATACATATTTTGTAATACTTGTACGTATTTAATGGAATAACCTGGTATAAGACTCTATGTTTCCCTAAATAAATAAATAAATGACTTTACTGCGCTTCTAAATATTGTATGAAAATTAATAGGAGTACTTCTATAAGCGTCTACTTTGAAGGCGCCCTAAGTCGTCGTCGAAACACGAAGAGAAATTTTGTCTTACATTCGCGCTCGTTGCCTGCCTTCTACTGAAATTAACCTGGTGACCTAACTCTGTCTTCAATTGTTGTACACAATATTGGTTATAGAATTGAAAAACACTAAAGCCAAGCAAATCGCGCGTAGCTACAAGTATTCATACAATTTTAATCATAGCTATATTCAGCAGCCATTTTACTTAAAACACATGTCGACAATTCAAAGGCTACAAGGCAAACATTGCTAAGCGGAATTCGGAATCTAAATATTTTATAAATAGTAAATTCAAATTTAATTAAACGGGCGATTTTGAATAATAAAAAACACACCCGTGGACTATTTACAAAAAAAATACCGCTTAGTTGATTTTATCCTTGCAACCGTTTATATGAACACGGGTATTTTTTATTTTACGTTATTTTAGTTGGTTTTACATCTCGAAAAAAATCTGCCCCTAAATGTTTATTTGAGCACGTTTAAAGTATATGGAACAGCAGAACTTATCCTATAGTATAAGTTTTTTTAATAGATCATCTCTTCTAAAATATAGTAAAATAAAAAAACCCGTATAATCTATTTCTCAAAGAAGATTTCAAACAATAGAATAACGTTCATAATTTTAAGAAATTGGTTCCTCGATTTTTATGTACCTCATTTACCTCATATTTTGTAAATAACTGCCATTTATAATTACCCCACTGAAATATAAGCCAGCTCCGCCCGGATCTATGGAGCAGCGTAAACTGTATAATTTCCTTTTGTCTAATTAAAACCGAAATTATGGTTTCTGAGATAAACAGCCCTGACTTACTGAAACAGTCTCTCACAATAGCACAGATAATAATACCGGCGACACTGCTGAAAGTGTCTCGATTGCACCTCTAATATGTGTAAGTCTTTAAAGTAACAATATATTGGTAATACCTAGTTTTCTGATTTAAAAAATAATTTAATAAATTACGGTCGCTTTTATACCGGTTAGGAGCGGAACCCGAAAAATTAAAGTAAATATTGGTTATTCACTACAATTTCTAATTTTGTAATATGCTATTTTTAGTGCCATTATTGTTATTTAGTGGTATTATAGTAAATGGATGTTATAATATAGTCATTATTACTTATTGTCTAGTTTTTAACTTATGTAAACGAAAGTGAGGGCGATATGATTTATATACGGTCCTGTAGAAAATTTGGACTTTAAAATTATCTATTTTAAAAACATCGAGAAACCATTTCCTCTATGTACAATGTTCTACGTTATTCATATTTTTAACAAATATAAGTACACATTTGAATACATACCTAGACTCGCATCGTACGTGTTCATGTACTCTGACGTCATAAATTGCGAGACAAGAGCCGTCTTGCCGACGCCTGCGTCGCCCAAAAGTACCACCCTGTTTTTTGGTATCTGTAAACAAGACATGATTCAGCGCACACGACAGGGCCAATTTGTAAAACATAATGAAGCAAACATCACGAAGGAATTATTAAAGGAAAGCGAAGAAATGAGAGAACGAGGACAAGCTACAAGAACGCAAAAGACAGGTGAATGTGGAGTGTAACAGTGAAATATGGAGAATTCTCCGACTTCTTCTTGTACTGTCAATGACAAAAACCAATAAATAGGTGTTATATTTCTTTGGCCCAGTAAGCAGCTACCTCTATCTATTGCCTTTAGCAGCCTTCGTAAGTGCAGCTGGTGGGACACAGTGGACATGACAGCAGATTTTTTCTAGTAGTAGAGCTCCTTGTGAAAGAGTTCATCCAGGGAAAGGGCAGGATGCTGGTACAATTACAGGCACATGGTACTTGTCAACTTATGTCTAGGGTAACGGGCGTAGCGGCAGTGCCCCTCAGATGTTTGTGATTTAAAGCTCTGAGTGGCACTGCAACTGTTATGGATAAGCGTGTAGCTTACCATCAGGCGCACGACATGGTCGTTCCTTTAGTTGATATTATAAAATAAAGAATCTGTGCCCGGCAACGGGACGTACAAATGGGTTGATGTTGTTGACTAATTGTCTGACTAGGGTCGCATCAGCTTCTTCTTCTGACTAACTAAAGGCCACCAAGGTTATTATATGAAAGTCATAGAGCTACATGATTTTATTACTTTCATGTAATAACCTCGGTGATTATTCTATTCTATGAATGATTAAATGATTGACAATTTTATCACACGTAAGATTTGGCCCATTACAAATATATCTATCGCCCGCAGAGCTAACAGCTGCGCTAACGACGTTGTTGTATACTTATCGGTGAATGGTCTAAATTTTCTTACGGGCAGTATGTCGTCTTCGTCAGGCGTGTCCAGACTTGCGGAGTCCACAGGCCTGTAACCAGAGCAGCACGATCCGTCGAATGGAGAGCGGTCCGACGCCCTGTTGACAAAAATAACGTTTAATGAAGGAAAATAGGCGAACTTAATAATATTCCTATGAAAATATTCTTACACAACTAACTACTTACGTAAAAGGAATGCCGAAAAGCATTGACTTACAAATAAATGGACGACGGGTCTAATACAAAAACCACGAAAAAAATGTCCCAAGTCAACCTATTTAAACGTAGTGACATGTAAAGGAATATGAAAAAGCTAAAACGTTGAATTTAAATTGTAATGTCATCGCAGTACTGTCTAATTTTGCTTGCTTCGCTGTCAGTCGAACAAACGAAGACTAAAGCGTGAATGACGCTCTGTATACGATTTTAACGCCCCTAAGTTCGGACACTTTTTAGCGCGGACCCGACGTCCATATAATTGTAAGTCAATGCCGAAAAGAGACTTATCTCTTAGACTTATTTTTGTAATAGGAAGTGACGAGACGAACAAGTCGTGCGCCTGGTGGTAAGCGACACGCCTATCCATAACAGTTGCAGTGCCATTCAGAGCTTTAAATCGCAAAGATTTTAGAGACACCGCCATTTCGCCTGTCACCCTGAGACATAAGTTGACACGTCCCATGCGCTTGTGATTTCACCAGCACCCTTTACCCTTCGAAACCGTAATGCAGTAATACTCACTATACTGCTTGGCGGCAGAAATGGTGGCAGTACTTCCCTGGACGAACTCTTTCACAAGGAACTCTACTGCTACTAAAAACTATGCGCAATTTAATGTAAAATAAATATTGTAATTTAATAATAATTTTAATGAATATTTTTATATTTTTTTATTTTATGACTTTAATAACAATTTATAAAATACTAACTACCTCCCAGGATTATATTACTAACATCATAAACAACAACTTTTGTACTATCACACGCTCTTCCAATATTCATAGTTTTCTCACAATTGCGCTACAGCAAAAAATCAATTAAAAACTAAAAAAAATCTGCAGCAACTATATAGAGAAATCCGTAACGTTCCGTAGCGCAGCTTCAAAAGCGATAGTCCCTGTGCGAAAATAATAATAATAATAACGTAACTAACTCATAGCCTTGCACTAGGTTAAACCCTGTGTCGCGGGTGCTATGGACACACATATTGACAACCACAAAATACACCCAAACTCACGAGAGAAATAAATGTAGGCCATACAGATATTTCTCCCGGCCCGGGAATCGATTTCCTGGGACCTCTGCGTGGCAATACGGCATGGTAACAGTTGGGCCACGGAGGCAGTTAAATTTTAATAGTCAAATTTTGTCTCATTTTGAATTAAGTAGATATTTTTTAATTGTTTCTTACAATATTTTGACGACGGTTTTATTCACCAGAGAATCAAATTTTGCGTTCAGCAAGAGTACACATATTTTGAGTTACGATACTATTGTAATACCACTGCGATATCATAATAAACTACAATTGCAAATAATAATAATAATAATTTATTCAGTACAACAACAGTAATACCCTAAGTAACAAAAACACATACAATTTAGGTAGTACATAAACTGACAGAAAAACAGTGGACAAGGCCATCATTCAGTTCCCAAACTAGAGTAACCCAGCACTTTGGAAGCTGATGACGATCCTCCGCTCGTAAACAAAATTACGAACATTTTACAACCGGTTATGAGGACGTGACACAGAAGAGTGTGAATGTAATGTAAGTAAATAAAACACCACAAACCATATACCGTGTTAGCTTGTGCCATCTTACAAGGGATATCTTTAATTATTTTATTTTATTTTTCTATTTATTTATTATTTATTTATTATGCTTTATGCAAACACTGATACATGCAAATACTATTACTAATTAAGTTAAGGGGAGAGCGTTAAACAGAATAATAATTATATTAACATATTTTTTTCGGTTTCATCATAAGTTTGTGGTTAGTAGAGTAAGCATGTGTGTGTTTACGTATATGTATTGCCCACCCTGCTCCACACATGGATTGTAGTGGTAGTACGCAGAAAAAGACTTGCAAGACAATGGTAAAAGTATATTGTACGTAAAAATACAGATACTATGGTGGCAAATCTTTCCTTGATGTCGTGTATAGGTTGACAGTTGGTAACGTACTACGTTAAAACAGAGTGTGAATTGCATGTTTAAATAAAAGTGCGGCACGTGGCTAAAGTAGATCACCGCGTGCGCAGAGTTATGCAAGAGAATGTATGAAACCATACAGTATGGGTGTGTTCTGTTTAATCGTCATTGCCTGTAAATTCATATTTTAACTGTTCAGTTAGTGTACGCTTAAATAATGTACAGACAGCAATACATCAAGCTACACATTGACAGATCTTGTTCTCTTGCACTGGAGGCTATATTCGAACAAAAGTGTATATAGCTTGATGTGTGGTTCACTTTACATGGCTGTAGTTGGATTTAGATTCCATGGTTTAGCGGTGGCAACTGCTAGTTGTGTATTACTAGTGCACAACGGGTGGTAAGCGTGCCAGCAGCTCCTGTACCTATCAGGACAATTGGGTGGGTGTATCCGGAATCGCTCACCCAAGGCACTAGCGTTTTGAGTAAACGGGATGATCTGGGGTTAGGATCTGACTGCATAAGGGTAATACTCGCACGGGTAACAGTCCCCTTCTCGTATAACTAAGACGTTGATATGGAGGGGCATTATAAACAAAATTTAAGTAGAGAGATATGGGGTACATAGCTATATGCCAACTTGGCGTTATTGCTCATTTTGGTACAATCAGTTCCATCTTATTCTACCAAATTATATTAAATATACCCATTTAATTGGAATAAGAACCAAATCTTCCTTAATACGACAAATAAATAAATTGATTGATTAAATGTTATGACATAAGATCGGAAACAGAGGTTACTTACATTTGAAGGTATACAGCATAGAGTATATAATATATTCTTTTGAAAACTAGTAAAATTTAACTTGCAACTTATATAAAATATTTTTTATAATACCAAGTGAAAGAAGAAACAAGTCGTGCGCCTGGTGGAAAGAGACACGCATGTCCATAACAGTTGCAGTGCCACTCAAGACTTTAAATGGCAAAGATTTGAGAGGCACTCACTGCACCCGTCACCCTGAGACACAAGCTGACAAGTCCCATGTGCTCATAATTTCACAAATACCCTTTCCGTTCAGAACCAGAACCTAGTAATCTCACATTACTGCTTGGCTCTACTGCTACTAAAGTTCAACTTATATTGAAATTCTTCAATGACACTGTTGAAAATTAACGCTTCGGGTCGATTTGTTTCACAAAACGCCACTAAAAAGTCCTTCAATTTTATTCCTCAAATCCCCAGTAACCTAACACTTGCTACGCAGTGGGGATTTGTGGAAAAAAAATCCTTACCAAGAATAGATATCCATAGATGGCGCTACAGCTAAAAAGCCGTTGAAAACCAAATACAAAAACCCGACAAACAAGCACATAGAAAAATTCGTGTCGTCCGCTGGTTCGTTCCGTGGCTTAATTGGCATAGCGACTAGCACGGTTTGCTAGAAGACGTCGGTTCGAATTCGGCCGGATCGAAGGAATTTTTCCTAAGTATTTTTTCTTTTTTTACTAGTTTGTCATAATTAATAATTATAACAAACTAGTGGAGTAATTTCACAAAAAAGAATTGAATATATATAAATTCCTTACTAAAAAAATGATATTTAGGTAACTGATTCGGTATTTGCCGTAAAGACTTATTTTCAGCATCAATATCCCGTCTATATTACTACGACACAGATCAATTGTGTTTTTTCCTAAATTGAAAACGTACTTTTGAACTTCCTGTAAAATATTGAATTATTCTTAAATGTGTACTCAAACAATTTGCTTATCTTCGCCCGTGAACGCGTAAGAAAAGTCAGCTCGGTTCTGCTGCAAGGGTATACAAAATGTCTATTGTTGTCTATTTATCTTAGTATAATATATATTTCATAAAAAATAAAAAATAAAAATAAAATAAATAAATTGATTTCAAATTGCAAGTTTTTTTTAATTGTAGAATATTTTTAGTTGGTTGTATATGGGAACACAAACTAACCAATAATTATTTAGCACAAGCACTGTAGGCACAATAAACCTGTAAAGGACCCGAACCATGGGGTTAATTGGAAAAAAAAAAAAAATGAACGGTATTTAGATCTGATTAGATATTTTATTTCCATATTTAATTAAAACGTAGTGTACCCAATTAAATTATAATTGGGTATCAGATTTATGACTTTTATGAGTAATTAAAAAATAAGGTATGAGTAAATATTGCGAGTCTGTTCTGTATATTATTTATAGCTTTATTATTTATTATATATTTTTGTTGCTATAACGTAATAATATTAAAATATTAACGAATCTGAATATAAGTTGAAAATTGCATTGACTTCATACTTCAAATGACTAGTCTATTTTTAACCGACTTAAAAAAGGAGGAGGTTCTCAAGTAGACTGCATGTTTTTTTGTATATATGTTTCACAATCCCATTTTTTTTACCGATTTTGAGAATTCTTTTTTGTTGAAAAGAGAGTACCTCAGCAGTAATCCCAATTAAATATGCAGAAAATATTCCACCTCTAAGGGTGGCAAACTATGTAAACTAAAGGGATGAATCCGGTCTCCCGGATTGGATTCTCGCTGAGAAAAATTTGGCACACACACTTTTCTGAATTAGTATTTTCTGATAGTACACTAATATCATATCTAATCGGTTGTAAAAACTCGATTACTAGGAAACCGACAAGTCACAAGTCTGTGACAAATCTGAGAAGTTGGGGAGTTATAATACAGGTTTAATTGCCTACGGACTCACTTTACAAGTGTTACAACATTTAACATTGTTAGTCTTTATTTTAATGTAAGATCTGCTCTTTTTGGTGAAGTAATAAACCATTGTATTATTATATTTTCATTACCAATATGTAGCACTGTTAAAAACTTGAATACGTGATGATTATCTCTAGTTTCAGGCTTCTTACCACGGTATGACTACTTTTTATTTT